TTCTGATCTCGGCTGCCAATGCATTCAAACCAAGGCAGCTGAATTCCGAGATGTCAGGCAATGGATAGTCAATGTGATGGTGAACAGTAAGCCTATATGCATGCACTGAGATCCAGCCGTGGTCCAGGGTTTGCCTAAGGCTTCCTTTATACAATCTTCATAAGGGAACTAGAGACCATGGGGGTATATACAGGAAATCTGAGTGAAGAAGAGCCAGGACACCCCTGCATGGGAAGAATTTCATCTTTTTATTTTATTATTATAAAATTATAAACTATCCTATGTCCATTAGGGTCAATCAAAGTTAAAAAGCAGTATCCTAGGAAACTAATTTCCATAGGGAAAAATACTTTATTTTTTTCATTTTAAAAGCCCCGACAAACAAAATACAACTTTACATGTCTCTCTGATGCCTAGATGGCTAGTCAGTACTGAGGGGAAATTGTTTTCTAACTCTTGAATCTAGCATACATGGAGATTAGGCGACTCACTTTTAGCTGTCAATGTCATCTGCATTTTTTTTTTAATCGACTTGAACACATAGAGATCGCTTAGTGACAGAAATCAAGACAGCAAGCCTTTAGAAACAGGTTTGTCTCAAGTACATTACTAACCCACATAGGCGACATGGAAACATCACACTATGTCAGCTAGAGCAGCCTCTCAACTCCGTGACACTTGTCTCCGTTTGACCAGTTCTCAAGTCATACAGCTTTACAGGTGAGCAAGATGTGTCACTAAGCATCAGTGCAGGAACTATAAAGTGACATTTCAGCAGGATGGGGTAACCAGCTAAGTCTTCTTCTATCATAATACTACTTCAATGGTCACTTCAAGTTTATGCTAATATATGTGCAGAGTTAATACATGCATGCAGATTTAAAGCCCTTATATGTGACCTGAAAACTCTCCACAAGTCCTAAAGAAATAAAAACCACTAAAAACTGTCTTTTCCTTTCCTATAAACAACATGCATTTTTTTTGTAACTACTTAGCCTAGAAAGAAACATATTATATCTAGAATTATTTGGCATTTATATAAGGTTAATCATAATGTCCATTCAATAAGAGTTCTACAGAGAGTTTTTTTTCATACCATGTAAGCTTATTTTAAACAAACCACAAGAATGTAAATGTTACTAAGGACTCAGGGCAGCTGAAGAGTTCTGGAAATCTGGTCAGCGTATAAATTGTCGCTGAAATGGGGAAACGGGTTTGAAAACATGTTGTTTGCAATTAAGGAAACCAACAGGAAGAAAATGAGTAAGAGGGAAGCAAGGGAGATTCCCTGAACGATGAATGGATTCTGTTTGACAAGGGCAGCAACTGCCCAAGCGCATCCTTCTGCCCTCATCTGCTAGAAATACACAGGCCTGGGGAAGCACAGCTTGGTGTTTTATCCTCAGGGTGATCTAAGCTTCCCAGTCTTAGATAATGCATTAAGACATATGGCAAAGCTGCCCCTAAATTCAGAGGGTTTATAGATCTCCCCAAAATGACTCAAACTATCCCTGGTACTAGTAAAACATTCTACCTCAAGTATTTAAATGTGCTTTAAAAATATTGGTCTTCTAAAGAACTATTTTCCCAAATAACCTATCCTGGCTTCATATTTTAATATAAATATTAAAAGACACATACAGCTTCTCTCCTTAACAGAAGGAAGTTGAATCTACTCTAGATTTTCACAGCAAGATTTATATGACTTTTCCTTAAAAAAAAAATCAGTCACAAATACTTGGGAAATTTAATTTACATGTGTATTCATGAAATGCCAGCAGTCAAGCAAAACCTATTCCTAGTTCTATTGCTCTAATGAAGCTTTTACTAAGAACGCTCACTGGATAACTCCTGCAGCCTTCTGTTCTCTCTTTGTTTTCATACCACTGTAAGGTCCGCACACTTTGTTCAACAGTGATTGGGGGAAAGAGAAAAAGTAAGTATTGTTTATAGCAAATATTTGATAAGCATGCTTATAATTTCCATATATAAAGATATCTTAATTCTCTACCATACAGCACACAGACTTATATTGGCTTATAAAAACACCATGGACAAATCTGTCATTCGGCATCCGTACTGCCAGATCTTTGTGGAAATCAGTTTCTGCCTTGTACAACCACAATGCTTGGAAAACAAAAAGGCTAGCATATCAAACAATAACTTGTTTCAGTATCAGAAATTTCATTGAAAAGCCAATTAATTTGCTTTCCAGATGAACATACATTCCTAACTACAAGTCTCAGTTCATTCAGGAGAGAACGCGAAATAACAAATAAATAAAAAGCAAAGGCTGAATAAAACTCTTGTCATGAACGTCTAATTTATTCAAACTTCAACTATCAAGCAAACAACCTAAGAAATTCCATGTTGTCTTCTAAACTCACAGTTTCTGTCTCAAAGGGTCGACTTTATCATGTATTTTTTATATAGATGCTACCAAAGAGCTTACAGTAGATGCAGGAAGAGAGAGGAAATCAGAGAACCTTTCTATGAGCCCTGAGGCGAATCTGTTGTCTGTGGAGTTCCTACTCTACTAAGCAACTTGTAGGAGACAGCACTGCAGCTGGGAGCCTGAGATCTGGAGACTGTCCCCCTGGGTATGATATCACAAAATGACTTCGCTCTATTCCTTCCCCAGCCTGGCACCATGGCTCAAGCCTGCACAGAACTGTCACACCCCGAGCCCAGCTCCTGTTGTTAGATAAGGACTTCCCCACTCTCACTCCCTAAAATCTAACCAGGAAGTACATAAGCAGCAGACCAGGTCAAAACAGCCCCTGTTCTCTCTAGAGAGTTCCCATTTGTCTGTGTCCCTTTGTTGATAGACTCTGAATGGCACTGTTAACAGAACACACAGCGGGGTGGATTCACAAGTTTGCAAACACACACAGAGACACTTTCCAGCCAACATTCTAAGTACAGGTTTATTGAGCCCACCCTATACAAAAGTAGCTTGTCAGAAGAAATTTAGCACACTTCCACTTAGTCTGTAGGTAAGCCTTACACTGAGATGTCATATAACACCCAAATCACCAAACATTGTAACTATATGAATAGAACACAGTAGCATGCTATGTATGACTTCTCAATCTTCCCAACCCTATGATTATGAGAGTATCAGTTCATCCAAAAACCTCGCTTCCTCCTAACAGCCATAATTTACAATTATGTACTCCCTCTGACTGGCAAAGGGAAGGGCAATACTGCCTAAACTCAGTAAAGCTTCGTGCCTTTTTTGACTTAGAGGTCCAAAATACCATATGATTGCTCCAGGCAGCATGGATTTCCCTTGTTCAAATGTTCTCTAAGTGAATGGAAGAGCATTATTCCTGGAATCTGGCATTTGTGCCTAGTTAAGTCATTACCAACAGCATTGCAAATTTAGCAAAACGCCCTCGATCCCAGGTGTCACTGCTAACTGCAATCCCCTCCACGCGGACCCCCCAGATGCCCAGTAAATGATGTAAAACTCATATGGTTTGGAGCAAAGGTGAAATCCTTCTTGAATTACATATCATACAGCATGTGAAAGCTGAACTATGACATGGCTTAAGGGTTTTACTTCAGATTCTGTAGCAGCCGATCCTAAACTGCAGTGCGATGGTGTTGGAGCGCTGGTGTTCCCTGCTAAGACAGCTCCCAGCAGCGCAGTCCCCATGTTCCACCGTGACATCTATCAACCAGAGATGGGGAATCCCAGCGTCTGTCTCAACAGCCTCTGTCCACAGAGTGGTGCAATCCTAACAGGTCTCTGGCACACCAAGTACACTGTCAACATAAAGGAACAGTGGGTGAACTTTGCTCTGGCCCGTCATTAAAACCAAATCATCTGGTATTAATTAACTGCAGGACACGAGGACCACGAACGGTAACCCGGAATCTCCGTCTAATTGGCTATCACCAGTCCCAAATTTAAAATAGCTGACACACTTTGCACCACAGGCAGACAGAGGAGGTCTTGACGCCGAATTTGTGAAAATCCAATTAATCCAACCATCCATTACACAAATGTATAAAGACCAAGGGGAAAAAGCCATTAGGCATGTTAGAATGTGTAATATGTAATCACGTTAATTTACGGTTTGAGGAGGAATCCCTGCTATGTGTTAGTGATTATACGGTAATCAGGAAATGATACAGAAATCTGGGTCCTAGAGATGGCTTTATGAATGACAGACACACAATTCTACCTCAGACATGTAATTAGAGTCGCAGCAAATATCTCAAATCAGATAGTATGACACTCCTGAGTGAACGCTCCTCAGTGATTAAAATAGGAAAAGTCTGGGGAATTGAGGGCTAAACTTCTCGTCTGAGAGTCTTAAAGGCCTACATAAAATTACGTTCATCTGTTCTGGTTCCTAGACCAGGAGAAACAACCTCCAAACCAAAACAGTGTGAACAAAATTCTCGACAGGATTTTCCCAAGGAAATCCACTCTGTCATCTCACAGACACGTACAAACTAGCTCCACAGTCCACCTGTGTGCTGGATATCAGTGAACCCCAAACTCTGCCATTGTCTTTAGAGGCATCTTAGCCAAACCTTTCCTCCTCAGGACTCTCAGGGACAAACAGCCTCTGACTTCCACAGAACCACATTCCCGATCAGAAGTAAGGAAAGAGCTTGGAAACCAACCGGTTCCACTTTCAGAGAAGCCATACACACAGGGACCCACAAACACTTCCTAACCACAGCCAAGTTCAACAGCACACAACGCCTAAGAAAGCAGCAGGCACATTCCCGAGCAACTTCCTGAACCAAACCCCCAAGGGACTCAAAAGTTTCATGCAGCCCAACGGAGGGATTCCAAACTTAGGATTCCACCCAGAGCAAAAACCCAGAGACTCCGGGAACGTTGAGAAATCATCCGGCCCCCTGGCACCTGCTAAACCGCCCTCCTCTAGGACCGCTAGGACCTGGGAGCGCCCGCGCCCTGCAGCCGTCGAAGGGGGACCCCAAGATCGGCCGGGGGGGGGGGCTGGTGAGGCACTTACCGCACCGCTTACACAGCACCCGGCTGACCTCCTTTTTGAGGTTGCGGCCAGTCTCCAGTGGGGGGAACGAGGCTCGGAAGGCGGGCGGCGTGCGGCCGCTGCTGTTGGCATCGGGTTCCATGAAGAAGATGTACCTGCTGTCCTCCTTGAGCCGCCCGCAGGACGGGAAGGCTGGGTGGCCCCAGGTGTCCAGGCGCACGGTGAGCAAGGAGTCCTTCTTCAAGCCCCCAGCTTTTACCGCCCACACTTGGTGCACCTTCACCAGATAGGGCGCAGGGTCCCCGGGTTGGTCGATGCTGGGCGCAGGGGACCCGGTGGGCAGGGTCCAGTTGGCAGCGGGCGGAGGGTCCTGGGAGGGCGGTGGGTCCTGGGCGTGCTGTCCCTGCGCCCCTGCCCCTGCCTCGCCCGCTGCCTTCCTGTCGAGTGCCCCCTGCTGCCGCCGCGGCGGGTGCACCTTTCCCTCGATCACCACCGCGGCGCGCCGGGCCAGCTCCTGCACCGAGCCCACGCTGGGCGGAGACGAGTAGCACACCGAGGCCCCCGCGGGAGCCGCCCGCTCAGCCGCCGCCCCCGGCGCCAGGGCCGCGGTCCCCAACAGCAGCAGCAGCGGCAGCAGCAGCGGCAGCAGCGGAGGCGAGCGGCCGGCGGGCCGGGGATGCGGGGCGCTGGGGCTGGTACCCAGCGGGCGGCGCGGGGCGCGTCGCCATCTCATGGTGTGAGGTGCGTGCGGGCGCCTGTCGGTGCGGACTCTGCTTGGCTGGCTCCAGCTGCCTCGCCTTGCCTGCCCCCACTCCTGCCCTGACCCTCCTCCTTTTATTTATTTATTGGGGGGGGGGGTAGGAGAGTTGTTTATGGGGGGAGAGATGGGTGGAACCACAGAAAGGCAAAAAGGCGAATTTTAAAAAAGAAAAAAAGAAGCAATAAAAAGGGAAAAGGAAGAGAAAAAAAAAAGCCTTTGCCACCGCCTCGGTTGCGGGAGTGACAGGTTCCCCCCGCGCCACCGCTGCCGCCGCGCCCGAGCCCTGCTGTCGGGGATGTTGTCACCGGAGGAGTGGAGGTGGAGGCGCTGCTCGGCGGGGAACAGTCCTTTGTGTGGAGTGCTGCTGCGGCGGCTGCTGGGCTGCGAAAGCGGCGGGGACGAGAGCGCGGGGACAGAGCCTTGGAGGCGGAGTTGAGTGCCTGGAAATCGTTGGGTGGCCCAGGCGACAGCGCCCTGCGCCTGGCCTGCCTGTTTACCTGTGCTGCGAACTCGCCCCGCGCTCTGCCTGCCCTTCCTGGTGCTGATCCCTAGCCCGGCCGGCTCGGCCCTCCCCTGGCTGGCTGTCGCCCTGACTGCTGCAATTGGGAGGACCGGCGGCGGGCTGCAAGGCTGCAGTCCGAGTGGGCTGCGGAGATGTACTGGGGAGTGAGAGGTGACGCTTCAGTGAGCAGGGACCTGTTAGCCGCTCTGGATGCCCAAATGTAGGGAGGAAGCCAGGGTGGGACACAGGATGAGGGTCCTCGGTTCAGAAAAGTTTTGGGATACTCAGGTTACTTGGCAGTCAAAAGGGAGCAACATGTTCATGGAAGACAGGCAGCAATTAAAATAACAACTTCAAAACACGCCCCCTCTCTTTCCAGCGCAAGGCACTGTACACTTCAGGTATGAAGCCTCTGTTATCCATGCTTTTGACACTTCAGTCTCGCTATCCCTCTGACTTTGCCTCTCCTGAAATAGACGGTTCGCCATGATTTCAGGACTCCTGTAATGCTCCTTCCTCATCTCAAACCATAGTTGAGTCAAGTGCTTGCTCAGTAAGGCCCTTTTATATATAGTTTATGGCACCTTTCTTTACAGACTAAAGTTTCCTTGGGCACTAGAACAAAAGGTCACAGGGATACCATCGTAGGTTTAATATTTCACGCGAGTCTCCCGCCCCTCCCTAACTCCTATACTGCTAGGCTTAAGGACCTTATTCCAAAGTAAAAATCCATCACATCTCATGAATATTTTTCCAGCAATATTATGCAAGGGGAAGAAAACATGTTAGCATGTTGAGATAAATTATTCCCTCTTAAGAATGCTCTTTTACATGTTCAGGGGCAGAATAAAGCAGAGATAAAGCCATTCACTGAGCAGTCGATGCAGACTATGAATACTAAAGTTTTTGGAAACACTCTGACTTCTTGATGTCTTTACTTAGGGATTCTACAAGTTGTCATTGCTTTCAAGTATGATATATTAGCTTCAATGCTTTGCCTTGTTTTGTTGTGTCTTCCGTAGCTGAGCATCAAACCCAAGGCCTCATACATATAGGGCAGGTGCTCTACCACTGAGCTATAAACCCAGCCTTGAAAAAATAATGACGTTTTGATTTTAATGCAACATCTTTCTCAGTTGCTAAGACTCACTCTTTACATCCCATTGAGGAGTTGAGCATGTAGTGTCCCTGCATTGGCCTCCTGAATAGCCAAGGTTATAGTCTGTGCTTGCAAACCCTAGTAGTCATGATTTTATACTTTAAAAGCTAAGAGATTTTAAGCCATGGCAAACCATTCTAAAATGCTCTTGGCCCAAATAGTATCCACTCATGTTTGCCTGGCATCATAGTGGTTGGTGTAAGCCTCAGGACAAATGGTTCTTCAGATGGTGGTGGGGACAAGGTAGGGGAGCTAACCTTTAATGGCGTTAGCTGAGATAATTCATCTCATAAAGAAGGCTGGAAGATGGCTCAGCAGTTGAGAACTCTAGGGCCCTTCTCAGAGGACCTGAGTTCAAGTCCCAGCACCCACATGGCAGCTCACAGTTAGGTGTCTTTAACTCCGGTTCCTGATGATCTGATGCCCTCTTCTGGCCTTCACAGGTACCAGGCACACAAATGATGAACACACAAGCAGACAAAACATACAAATACATAATAATTGATTTAAAAAAAAAAACAGAACAAAACAGCCAATCTCATTCTTTAGCAGACAGCCTGGGCTTTTACAAGGAATCTGAGTATGTCCCAAGAGAGAGAGTGGCCAGAAGCAAGCAAGGTCTCTGAAAGTCTAGGCTCAGAATTAGAACCTCATTAATTGCTCTCATCATTAGCCACCGTCACAAGGCCGCCTCAGACTCTAGGAGTGGAGTTTGCAGGCTACTCATTCATGTAAGAAACACCTATGCTGCACCATTGTTAAAAGGCAGAGAAACAAGAAGGAAGAAATATGGTTTCCTTCTGCAATGACCCACCACATATGTTAAACATTCCTTCTGATCCAGTTGTCCCATGGAGCCTTCTTTTAAATACTAAACTCTCTGAGTGACCATTTCCCACAATGCACGTCCTCCGCATCATCTTCATCCTTGAAGTGTCACTCTAAGGAGCTCAGACACTTCAGGACTTCTACTCCTCTCTTCGCCTAGACCGGAAGTGTGTTAGAAAGCACAGGCTGTCCATCCGCTCTTCCTGCTTTAACTCAGCTATGGACACATATTAAGCACTCAATAAATGTCAGCTAATTAGTCAGGGACTGATTTGGCAATGTGCTTGTCACACGTTACCTCAGCACTGTCGAAGAGAAGTGGGATCCCTGGCAATAAAAACAACAATAAAATGTTAAAGCCCTGACTTGGAGTCGTTAAATGTATAGCTACCTCCTCTTTGTACTTTACAAAGTATTTTATCTATGATCAAACATAAGCTGCCTCTCTGAAGAGGTACTTTTTAATGCCTTTGCTGAATCCCACACCCCCCTCCTCTCTCTGCTAAGTGGAAAGGGGTAATTTGGATGGATATTTTCAGTGCAAAGGTAGGCCGCCTTAGAATAGTTCAGCTAAGAATTGTTTGCACATGTGTTGAATTTCAGTTCTTATATCGGAGCCCTCATTACCAAGGAACCACCTAAGGAGAGCTGCTAACCCATTCTGACCTTTAAAATCAGAAGAGAAATGATATTTCTAATATCAGTAGGACTGGGGTGAAGTCAAATAATTTGCATTTACATCAAGATTTTGGTGGCATGCTATTGGTAGAAAGACTATACTTTAAGAATCAGTCAAGGAGATTGAGGACCCAAACAGATGTCTCAGCAGGTAATGTCACTTGCTACCAAGGCTGGTGACCATCTCAGTTGAATCCTGGGACCCACATGATGGGAGGAGAGAACCTATTGCCTCAAGCTGTCTTCTGCCCCCCCCAACCTGTGTGCCTGGGCATGCATGCCCCCTCCTTCCACAGAATAAATAAATATATAAAATTACAAAGAAAAAGAAATGCTGTCAGTAATTCAAGATTAACACTTTATTTGTCCACTACTGTGTAGCGTGTAGCTCTCTACAGGCAGCATGGCCAGATATGCAATGTCACTCCTTTGAAATTGCCCCATCCAATTTTAATAAAACAGTATACATTACCTCCTCGGTGGTGTGCTGATGCAGGCTATCCCAAAGTTAAGGAGCTATGGGTGAACCACCATATTTTGACAACAAGAGCTCTAGGGCTTAGCTTGTCTTTGGGGGTCAAAGTTGGAAACAAAAGGAAATTAATGAATCAAAGCATTTGCTATCATATTACTTGGAATAACATCTGTTTGACAGGGAAAGAACAGACAGACCAAAGTATACTGGTGTGAAGTATTCTTTTCCCTAGTTTAGAAAATCTGAAGAGGAATCAGCAATTGGCTCCACAGTACTGCGCTGCCCAGACATAGTTTTCCACCCTTAGTACCCTTAGTGCTTTATGCCCTATTAAGTGTTTCTAAATGGTAACCATAGAAGGGGTAACAGGAAATCCACAGAGGCACTAGACTCTACTTTATCATCATTGGCCAATAGCTTGCAGGAGAGCACACCTCCAGCCATAAATCATGAAACAACTAGACTGCAGGACCTGGAGTCCAGGACGGTACAATCTCCAAAAGAACTCAAGCATGCTTAACAGCCTGACTCACAGCAGAGCTGGGACCTGGGATGGCTGACACAAAGCACAGTGACAGTAAACCAGACAAGCATGAGCCCAGAGGCCACCAGGAGAAGAAAAAGGTGGCAAGATGATGCTCTCTTCTGGAATAGTTATGACATTAGGAAGACTCACAAAAGACAGTTCTGAGTTTGGAAGAATTGCCTCTTGTTCTTTGCACCACTGACTGTAACAACCTGGTCAACCCCATCACACAACCAATAGCTGCATCAGGATATTTGTTCAATTATATTCTTTCTGTAAAATCCATAAGGAGTAAATATAGAGATAAAATCTAGTGCCTCTAAATCATGCACGCGAGATGACTGAAGCTCTGGGGTTTCACATGCTTGAACCCTGAGAGCAGGAGAAAAGGAGAATGAAGACAAGAGGATCCCCCCCCCCAATTGTTCTTTCCTGATTCATGGCATCCTGGAACTTCCTAGCAAAATGAAAGATGACTTCCTTAACCCAAGAACTCAACCGTCTCTACCCGGTTAGAGATAACTCACCCCCTGAAAGGCTCATGTATTGAAAACTTGGTTCCCGGCTAGTGGCATTCTCTTAGGAAGTGTTGAAAATGTAGGTGCTGAGACCTAGCTAGAGGAAATAGGACACTCGGGGGGGGGGGGGGGGGAATTTAGGGGATCCAGTCCCCTTTGCCATCTGTCCTGTCTGATAGAAGATGAGTTACGAACCCAGGGATTGTGAACTGAAGCCTTTGAAATGGTGATCTGAAAAAGATACAAACACTCATTGAATATTTACATAGGCAATACAGTCTATGAAA